ATATAAAATAAATTAATTTCATATATTATTTGAAAGAAAAATAATATAATGATATAAAATATATATTAACTTGTACTTTTAATAAATCCTCTTATTTTAAATTGATTTTTGTAAATAACATAATATTTGTTCTTATTACAAGTAGATCAAGAAAATAGTATAATTTTATGAAATAACCACTACAGGAAAATAAAAGATAATGAGAAAGACATAATAGCATTGTTGATCTAAAAGCAATGAGAATAATAAAGAAGAAATGGTCTTTGAAGTTTATTTTTTTTTTTTGTAACTAAACTCTAAAATAATTTGTATAATTAGATTTTTCCCTTATTTATTTGAGTCAGCCAAAAAAAGAAAATAAAAATTAAATGGGATGATTTAAAAGTCTAAACCAACAATTAATTCTGATGTCTACTATTCTAGTAATTTTAATTCAAATTATTGAAGGTACTAATAATGTAAAATTATTTCATATATTTTAAGAGAATTATGCAAATATTCATGTTAAACTTTTCTTTGAAATTATATGAGCTTAAAAATTTGTTTTAGTGGCTTGAATATAATTTGTTATGGAAAAATATATATTTAAATTTCAAATCCAATTACATATTTGAGAAAATCAATAAAATTAAACTTGAGTTATGCTAATTCCTTATTATATCAGTTATTTCAATTTTTAATGTTACAAGGATTGTATTAATTTGCTTTTGTGGCAAAATCTAATATTTCTCTAATAAGTAGCTGTGTCAAAAATTAAAATTAAAAGTTTTCCTAGAAAAGTTTAGAAGCTTGTCGTGTGTTTTAAATAATTTTTACAGATTTCATATCCTAAAAATAACAGGAAGATCATTGCTGAGCGATTAATCTATAATATTCTGAAAAAATAGAAATAGTCTTTGCTGTTTTTTATCAACTAAACCGATGTATGAATCTCCTGTATATAAGGAGATTCATATCAATATCTAAAATAATTAACTAGTGAGTAATCTTGTTATGTTATGTATTTATGTTATATCTTTTATTCTAAAATTTTCTTGATTTATTTTGATTAAATTATTTTATAATCTTTTTATCAATAATGAAGAAATCTCCTATTTAGCTTAAGTTAATTTTT